GTTAGAGGTTAGTCTATCCCAGTGGGGGTGAGATGTTTGCCTAACACTTATAGTGGATTTTTCTTTGTGAGAGCAACCACTATTGTTCATGTAAGTTCGAGGCTGAGGGATGGTATACCTTTCCTTGGAAAGATTCGTCAATGTCGTGGGAGATTGTATACTCCCTTCCTAAAGTGGTTTGTGATTTGGCTATGCGGGGAATGATTGAGATTGAGATTGTATGGTTGTGATGGGTGAACGAGGTAGAATCGTTGCGTAGATTCCTGAGAAGCAACCAACATAAATGACAATGATGATGAACCAACATATATGAGAATATTGAATGATGTTACTGAGTTACTTATTGATTGCTTTAATTTCTTGCAAGTTTATTCCTGTCATTGATTTAGTGTATTCTGTACACTTGAGATCATTACAACTACCATAGATTTATTCTCAAAAATCTTTATATGCTATTTTTCAAAAGAGACTTGCCATATTTTATTGTTTTAAACTTTGTTGGGATTTGAGAGGGATTTCCTACGGGCTTTTGCTCACCCCCTACAACAGACCTATAGATTTTGGTATAGAAGAGGATGTCAATGTGGATGAGCAGATTGATTATGAGCCGTTGGAGGTTCAAGATGTGGATCCTACCTTATAGGAATAGAGTTGATCTACTTTTGGTTTAGAGTTTGAGAGGTTTTTATGAAACAATGTTTTAACTAGTTTTTATTATTCCGCTGCTAGATATTTTTGGATTTGAATTGTAAGTTTGAGAAGTTTCAATGTTTTATTGGTTTTAGTATTTATTCCTTGTCAAATGGGTGAATGATTTATTACTTAATGGTTATTTTTAGTTGCTCTCATGGCTGAATGGTTTGTAGATAGTAATGTCTTCCAAGGTGAATTTTGGGGTGTTACACACTCCAAGAATGAATGGCTCTAAGCTCACAAGGGATACTGTACTATTCTCCACTATATGTATCAAGTTCAAAAGTAAAGTATTTTCTCCTAACTTATAACTTAAGCAAGGCCATATGTGCTCTGATATTTTGAATTTCAATTGAGAATAACATTTATAATATTAAAGTGTAATCTAGAATTCTATAACCGACTAAAGTATAATCAAGTTTAGATTTTCATTAAAATACCCCTTACCCAATCATTAGTCTTCTCATCATATGCACATAATTTAGACAATTGGTAAATTAAAACAAAAAATTTTTGCAATGAAAACAAAATATACAGATTGGTCAAAATGGGTTTTCATTACAGACTCTAACTGAAAATAAAAGTAGACTAAGTAAGTCAAGCCTTGATTGCACTAGATACGACTGAGGCTTTGACTATCGACTTGATCCTATCTGACTTGATAAAATAAAAGAAAATACTAAAAACAAACTTCAAGATCTCCAAAGTCTAGGAAGATGGACTAGAAGGACCAGAACGATCTGTAGGTGCATGGAGAAAGCTATAAAGCATGACTCCATGCCTGGCTCACTCTCCCTTAATCCATCTCTGATCTTCCAGGATTAGAAATAACAGATCCCTCTTAGAGTGAGTATCCACAAAATCTATGATCGGGGCATCAACATCTGCACCTTCATCCCCCTCATCACCCTCCTCATCTAAATCAGGATCTCCCCTAACAGCAACACTCCTACTTTTTATCAAAGCGGTGAGATCCAGAAGTGTGGACATCACTCCTTAAGCATCTCATCCTCTACAGCTATCCCCTGCCTCACATAGATCTTGGTAACTAAATAGCCAAATGGGAGAGAAGCATTCTTAGTAGTCACCTTCAGTGCTCTCTACATTTCAAACATGATAATAGATTAAAAGCATATCGACATACCAGTACCCAAAGCATATTGCAACCTTGCATTTTTTGGGTACACCTGATTCTTTCTACTCAGTGGTAAGATATTTGACATAAAAATCTAATTCAGAACTCTATAATTATCAGTCAATTGGCCTTGGATAAAATACTTGGGTTCTAAGTCCTTGCAAAGTTAGGATCTCCTGTCAACTCCTTTGCCACATCTTCCATCTCTATCATAGTAACAAGAGTAAATTATGGCCTAGGAGTTACAATGATACCCGCCACTACAAAAATCATAGCCAAATCTATTATCATTCTCTTCCCCCTCATATAACTAGAAAACCTCTTGGGGTCAATCCTCTCATCATTACAGTAAAATTCTCTAATCAACTTAGTAGCCCCCCTCCCATTTTTCAATTTCATAAAATCACCGCATCCCATACTCTGAAGAATTTGATCCATCCCGTACACAGAAAAATCATCATACAAAATAGCTCTCTCCATAACTATAGGCCTTTCAACAAAAGGAAAATCATACCTCTTACTCTTTTCCAACGAAGGAAAATAGTTCACATTGAATACATGTTGAAAATCTTGATCATCATTCACAACTCCTGGTTGCTGTGGTTGGGTTCTTTGTGCAATAGTACCCTCATAATCTCTCTTATGTGCCATTGAAGACTTTCTCAAAAGCTTCAGAAGAAGATGGGTCTTTTGAAAAAAAAAATTAGAAGATGTGAAAAATAACCCTAAAGTAAGAAAAAGAAGCTAAATCCTTAGTTTTTAGGAAGAAATCTTGATTATTGTTAGATTTTGGGTGAAAATTTGATGACTCTTTGAAGATTTTTGAAAGAGAGATGAGGTAGGTTTTGGTTTTAGAGAGAGAAAAAGGTGCAAAAGCTTAGGGAAGAAGAAGGCGCATCTTTAGGGTTTGTTTGGTTATTGAGAGAATGGTGGAAAAAGGGGGAAAGAGAAAAAAATATAAAATCTATTGTTTGTTTAGCCAAAAACGAATGTTTCTCGGGGAAAAAAAATTTATCGCATGATCAAATTTTTCCGTATTTGATGGTTTTTGATTTCCCACAAAATCTGCATGAAATTTTTTTTTCCCGTGAAACTTGGTTATCTGTTTCACTGTTTACCAATCTGCCCCTATTTTAGCACACCACAACTCTTCTTAGCACTCATCTTCTCAGCCAACTGGTATCTTTTTTTTACCTAGGGTGATATAAATCTTATTTATTTTTAACAAACACAATGTTATAAGCTTGGTGAGCTGAATCTTAACTTGAAAAAAAAATAAATGATCATAAATTAATTTGCAATGCAAAATAATTTATGTTAAAGCAACAAAGAAAAAATTTATTATCAATTTCATGTTCTGTAGCCATATGGGTAGAGCCACTTTTGAATAATTATACATAATGGTAATTCAGACAATTAAATAAAATTTCTTGTAATTTTCTTTCTTTCCAAACTATAGAATGAAATTTTCTTAAAACTTTCTTACAAAATTTTCATTCTAATCAAACACATACAAGAAAATATATTTTTTTTCACTTTCTTTTTTTTCACTTCACTTTCTATTATTTTCACTTTTTATCATTTTTTTCTTTCTAACCAAATGAACCCTTATAGAAAAGTAAGCCGTGTTCTATCAGAGATAAGGATTAGATCTCAAAACTAACCTTATCTCTCTATGGAACTTTACACAGCAAATAATAGGAATTAATCACGTGATAGAGACCAATCTTCACTTGTACTCATCCTCTTACATTCCGTCCACTATATAAATCATCAGTGCACATGTATATGAACATAGTTCAATACAATATTTCAGTTCCTATATGGTATCAGAGCAAAGTCCTTTACTCTGCCTAAATTTTTTCTTCCCAGTATGAGCACTACATCAATGTCTGGTGAGGCTTTTGCTGACAGCCCACTTCCATCATCCTTCCCTTCCATTGCTGTTCATTCTAGTACTCTTGCTACCAAATTGGATGAAACCAATTACTCACTTTGGGTGCTCAAATTTTACCTCATCTCCGTGCTCATCAACTTCTCGGTTATGTCAACAACTCTCTTCCCTGTCCACCAGAATTCAATCAATATGGTTCAACAAAAATCATCAATCTCACACCAAACACCTGCTTCCACAGTGCGTTATCTCCTCATATGACACAGTTTATACCCACAAATGTTACAACTCCTGCACCAGATCCACAATGGCGGGCTGCCATGACTACTGAGATAAATGTCCTTATTCACAATGGCACCTGGACACTTCAACCAGCGCTACAAACGCCAACATCGTTAGTTACAATTGGATTTTTTGCATCAAGCACAAAGCCGGTGGCACCATTGAACGACACAAGGCATGCCTTGTTGCCAAGGGATTCAATCAATAAGAAGGCATTGACTACACGGACACCTTTAGCCCCGTCATCGAACTAACGACAATTCGCACTATCTTGAGTCTCGCTACCAGTTGTGTTTGGCCCATTCGCCAACTAGATATCCACAATGTCTTTCTTCATAGCACCATTGATGAAGTCATACATATGAAACAACCTCCCGGGTTCATTGATTCAAGATATCCCGATCATGTGTGTCGTCTTTGGAAGTCCCTATATGNAAAGAAAAAATTTATTATCAATTTCATGTTCTGTAGCCATATGGGTAGAGCCACTTTTGAATAATTATACATAATGGTAATTCAGACAATTAAATAAAATTTCTTGTAATTTTCTTTCTTTCCAAACTATAGAATGAAATTTTCTTAAAACTTTCTTACAAAATTTTCATTCTAATCAAACACATACAAGAAAATATATTTTTTTTCACTTTCTTTTTTTTCACTTCACTTTCTATTATTTTCACTTTTTATCATTTTTTTCTTTCTAACCAAATGAACCCTTATAGAAAAGTAAGCCGTGTTCTATCAGAGATAAGGATTAGATCTCAAAACTAACCTTATCTCTCTATGGAACTTTACACAGCAAATAATAGGAATTAATCACGTGATAGAGACCAATCTTCACTTGTACTCATCCTCTTACATTCCGTCCACTATATAAATCATCAGTGCACATGTATATGAACATAGTTCAATACAATATTTCAGTTCCTATATGGTATCAGAGCAAAGTCCTTTACTCTGCCTAAATTTTTTCTTCCCAGTATGAGCACTACATCAATGTCTGGTGAGGCTTTTGCTGACAGCCCACTTCCATCATCCTTCCCTTCCATTGCTGTTCATTCTAGTACTCTTGCTACCAAATTGGATGAAACCAATTACTCACTTTGGGTGCTCAAATTTTACCTCATCTCCGTGCTCATCAACTTCTCGGTTATGTCAACAACTCTCTTCCCTGTCCACCAGAATTCAATCAATATGGTTCAACAAAAATCATCAATCTCACACCAAACACCTGCTTCCACAGTGCGTTATCTCCTCATATGACACAGTTTATACCCACAAATGTTACAACTCCTGCACCAGATCCACAATGGCGGGCTGCCATGACTACTGAGATAAATGTCCTTATTCACAATGGCACCTGGACACTTCAACCAGCGCTACAAACGCCAACATCGTTAGTTACAATTGGATTTTTTGCATCAAGCACAAAGCCGGTGGCACCATTGAACGACACAAGGCATGCCTTGTTGCCAAGGGATTCAATCAATAAGAAGGCATTGACTACACGGACACCTTTAGCCCCGTCATCGAACTAACGACAATTCGCACTATCTTGAGTCTCGCTACCAGTTGTGTTTGGCCCATTCGCCAACTAGATATCCACAATGTCTTTCTTCATAGCACCATTGATGAAGTCATACATATGAAACAACCTCCCGGGTTCATTGATTCAAGATATCCCGATCATGTGTGTCGTCTTTGGAAGTCCCTATATGGTTCGGCCTCTTGAGCAATTTCCTTCTAACTCACGACTTTTTCCCTTGAAAAATAGATCCCTCGCTCTTTATTCAGACATCCTGCTACTCAACAGTATATTTCTTAATTTATGTGGACGATTTAATTATTACTAGCAACCCCACCGAATCAATTCAATCTCTAATCAATCTTCTTGGTTCTGATTTTGCAATCATGGATCCTGGCAGTCTTCATTTTTTCCTGGGTATCGAATTTATTCCCACCACTACTGGCCCTCTTCTTAGTCGGTGGCAATACATAGTCGATCTTCTCAAGCCCGCTCACATGGACAATGCCAACCCCATCTCAAAGCCTTTCTCACCATCTACCAAACTTCACTACCACGATGGGGATCCATTTGACGATGTCATCCAATACCACAACATTATTTGGGCACTCCAATATGTCATCATCACACACCCCGATATATCCTACTCCGTGAACAAGGTTTGCCAATTTATGCAGCTACCTACAACGCCTCATTGGACTACAGTGAAGCGTATTCTTCGTTATCTTAAAGCAACTTTAGATGTATGCCTTCCTATTCAACGACATCCATCCTTCTCCATCTTTGCCTACTCTGATACAGATTGGGCTGGGTGTCTAGATGACCGAAAATCAACAAGTGGCTATGCAATTTTCTTCGGTCCAAATCTTGTCTCCTTGTCATCCCGCAAACAAGGAGCAGTTGCATGCTCTAGAACTGAAGCTGAATATCCTGCCTTGGCCAATGCGACAACTGAGATTCTATGGCTACAATCTCTTCTCACAAAACTTCATTTTCTACAGCCCAATCGTCCAACACTTTGGTGTGATAATATGAAGCCACGTTCTTAACTGCAAACCCAATCTTTCATAATCACTTGAAGCACGTTGAGATTGCCTTTCACTTTGTTTGTTATCATGTCGCCAAGGGCTATCTCCAAGTCAGCTATCTGTCCACTAAGGATCAACTGCCAAATGTTCTTACAAAACTGCTTCCCATGCCAAGGTTCTAGCTTCTCTGGGACAAGCTCAGCCCTCTTCATGGAACGCTTCACTTGCAGGGCATATCAGAGATAAGGATTAAATATCAAAACTAACCTTATCTCTCTATGAAACTTTACCCAGCAAATGATAGGAATCAATCATCTGATAGAATCCAATCTTCACTTATACTCATCCTTTTACATTTCGTCCACTATATAAATCATTAATGTACATGCATATGAATATAGTTGAATACAATATTTCAGTTCCTATACGTTCGAACGGTCCTCTTTAATGTTCGCCTCTTTCCAAAAGCTTCGCATGGCTTTTTTACTTTCACAATTCTTAGGTGCATTCGAACGCAAACACATCGTCCTTCCGTTGGTTGATTTTTAAAAGCATGCATTCAAACGGACAAGAATCGTTCGAACTGTCATAAGTCTTTGGATCTCCTACGACTATACTTTAAAAATTTACCCAAAAATAATTAAAATTAAATTAAAATATCCTAAATGAATAAAATAGCCTAAATACAAACAAATTTTCTTAAATAAATATTTAAATCATCCAAAAAAAATTTCACAAAAATATTCAGACTCAACTGATTAAGATTGCATCACAATTATCCCACCCCAAACTAAATTATGCATTGTCCTCAATGAATGAAAAAACAATAATAGATCATAAAAGAAAACTCAAGTAGGGGAGAAAAACATACTTGTATCTATAATCTTTTTATCCAACTCTAAAAATTAAACACTTTAAAAAACAAAAGAAATTATTTTGAACAAACTGTTAAAAAGTAAATAAAAACAAAACTACTATACACTACAAGAAACAATCAGAGTCATTTGTCAGATTCATATTATAGATCCACCAATTCAATGGACTCCACCTCAACCACTATACCCTCTAAAAACGGTTTTAATATTGGTCCATTTACTTTGAAAACATTCCCATTTTTGGGTTTTCTATTTCAACAGCCCTATGAGAAAAAACCTCTTTTACTCTAAATGGGTCAGACCACCTTGACCTCAATTTATCAAGAAAATGGTGGAGGCGAGAATTATAAAGCAGAACCTTCTGTGATGGTTCAAAGGGTTTTCTCACAATGTTCCTATCATGAAAAACTTTTATTCTAACTTTGGCAATCTTAGCATTCTCATAAGCAAAATTTCTAAGTTCTTCCAATTCATTAATCTGAAGCCTCCTTGATGTCCTTATTTTATCTATGTCAAAATTCATACTCTTAATTACCCAATATGCTCTATGTTCAAGTTTCACAGGTAGATGGCAAGGCTTCCCGTAAATTAACCTATAAGGAGACATTCTAAGAATTATTTTGAAAGTAGTACGATAAGTCCACAAGACATCGGTCAATCTTAAAGATTAATCGTTGCGATCTGGATTTACCTTTTTTTTTTCTAAAATTTGTTCTATCTCCTTATTAGCTAACTCTACTTGTCCACTTGTTCATGGATGGTAGGGTGTATCCACTTTATGAATAATGACATATTTGCAAATCAATAGTTCAAAAATTTTATTACAAAAGTGATTTCCTCCATCACTGATAATGGCTTGAGGTATCCCAAACAGTCAAAGAATGTGTTCTTTTAGAAATTTGATCAGCGTATGATGATCATTGGTTCGGCAAGTGATAGCTTCAATCTATTTGGATACATAATCAACAACAATTACAATATATTCGTAGGTAAACGATTGAGGGAATGGTCCCATGAAGTCAATGCCCCAATAGTAAAAAATATCAAATGCTAAAATTTTATTTAAGGGCAACATGTTCCTTCATGAGATACCCCCCAACCGTTGACAATGATCACATGAAATACAAAAGGCATGGGTATCTTTAAATAGTGTTAGCCAATAAAATCTATATTGCAAAATCTTTACAGTGGTTTTCTTTGATGAAAAATGGCCCCCACATGCTACAATGTGATAAAATTTTATGACGTTATGGATTTCATGATTAGGTACACAACTCCTAATAATCTGGTCTTTACAGTATTTAAAGAGAAAAGGGTCATCCCAAAAGAAACTGAGTACTTCAACTAATTTTTTTTTTCATATCCATAGAATTGAAAGAAGAAGAAAAAGTACATGTGGCTAAATAATTAGCAGTGTTAGCATACCATGGTACCTTAGAAACTACTAACAATTGTTCATCTAGGAAAGTCTCATTGATATGCACTCCATCTTGTGGAAAATCATATCTTAACTTGAAAGATGATCATCTAGTATGTTTTTCACTGTGATGCCCCTACAATCAGGGGTCCTTTGTCAACTAGTTAATAATCCATTAACCTGCAGAAGTACCCATGGATGCCGCATAACCTGACACCACGTCATAACATCCCCTTCGCCGGGATTGTAACCAACACAGAGTTTGGACAGAATCTCCCTTGTACCAGACACTTCCAAATGAATAACATGGATACATTTCAATCACTTGACTATTCCAAGGTCTAATATACATAAATTTGTCATTAATATTACTCCATTTACATCCTTTGAACAAAAGGGCTCAAGGCCCGAACGCTTGGCAAAGTAATTTTGATTTTTTTTGAAAATTTTGGAGGGTCTACTGATAGCTCATGTATGTGCAATTGGTAGCTAAGCCCACTGCCAGAGAGCTATAAGTTAAAATTTTTGGAGGAGCTACCGGTAACTCGTGTACGTGCTACTGGTAGCTGAGCCCTCTACTCGCGAGCTACTGGTAGCTCAAGACTTGCTATTGGTAGATGAGTCCAGTTTTCTCTCAATTCAATCATTTTTTAATTTTAACTCATCCAATGTCATACAACATTCACCCAAACTCATATAACATAAAATTATACTCAAAATATAGTCCATAAAGGTTCATTACACAATCCTTTAAACAATATTACATTTCCAAAAGCTAATTATACAATTGTTTTAAAAAAAAGTAATCTAAAGTCACAACTTGACTTTCTTTATCAACGAGGGTCCAAGTGAGAGCTGTCCACCAGCGGTTGTCCCGCACCTAAAATGTTGTCCCCATAAAGGATGACCTACACTCAATAGGGCATCTCCTAAAGAGGCTACTTCCCAACCTAAATTCATATAAAATGCTCACATGTCGTTCAACATTCAAACAAGTATTCATACAAGAACATACAACTTCAAGAATGAATGTCACAATGCTATGTTATGTTATGAGGTGAGACTCATACATGCAACACAACCCTTGCCTTCACCGACTCCCATAACGCATGCAATGTCATGCATATGTACAAGGGCATTTCAAGCCCCCACCATTGATGTTACACATCTAATGACTATTTTATAAAATGAACAACGTAACTTTGTTGGGTAGGTGATTTCCTGGACTTGCAACATCGGTCCACCATGCCAACACGGATTTTGGTATCTCACATCTGGTTCTGCTTAAACCCATACACTTTTTTGGACTTTCACCGTCGGAAGGGCATAAACCAGTAACTGGGTCTTGCACCTGAAGAAAAATCTGGCCTTTGATGTTATACCCGACACAAGTTTTC